CTGACAAAATATAAGACTATTTTGTCATTTACTAATTTTTCACCGTTTGCCTTCACCGATTCGTTGTCATCGTTAACCTTTTTTTGGCTTCTTATTCAAAGTTGCTCTTTTTTTTCTGCTCTAAAACCTCAAGAATTTCTCATTCAATGCAACTTCTGGGGTTGTTTCTTTCTTCATAAAAACAAAAAAAAAACAAAAAATAATAGCAAAATTTTGAAAAAAAGAAGAAGAAAGAAAGATAAATACTCTTCCGGGTTACTGTAATTTGTCGATTTTCAGGTACTTTTTCATATTTTTTCTAGTTCGTATTGATTTATACCATTCTATGGACCCCTTTTTGATTTGGGGTTTTTAGTTTATGTATAATTTGAACGATCCTTTATTCATTCTGTTATTATTACTTGCTGAAACAATTTTTGTGATTTTGTAAGTTCTTGTTGAAGTTGTGTATTTGTTGGTTAATGTTGAAGTTTTACGTGAAAGACATGATTTTTTTATCTGTGTTTTTCTATTTTCAGGTTCAAATTTTTGATTGAAGGGATTTTTTTTTCTTAAAGATTGAACCTTTAGTTTAGCTGTTCTTGAGTTAAATGGTGAAAATGTGCTTAATGGATTGTTTTGATCTTTTTTTTTTTGTTTTTTTAAGCAAAAAACAGAAAGAAATTAAATAGCTTTCTGGGTTGCTATAATTTGTCGTTTATCAGGTAAAAACTTACTTTTTTTAAAGCAAAAACAGAAAGAAATTAAATAGCTTTCTGGGTCGCTATAATTTGCCTTTGCATATGTTTTCTAGTTCAGATTGATTTCTATGATACTTGTGATATTTAATGGACAGGGTGTTGGAATAATAATTCAAAGTTGGAGTACGAATACTAAGTTAATTAAGATTTGTTATTTATGATATTTGCTTATTTATGTTTAATTAGAATTTCTAAAACTAGTTTAATTTTGTTTGGTTCTGTCTAATTTGAACGATCCCTGATTCAGTTCGGTTATTACTTGGTGAAATATTTTGTGATTTTGTAAATTTTTGTTGCAGTAGTGAATTTGGCGGTTAATGTTGAAGTTTTACGCGAAAAGATATGATTTTTTGATGATGGGGTTTCTAGTTTGATTTGTGTTCTTCTATTTTCAGGTTCAATTTTTTGATTGAAGGGATTTTTTTTTGCTTATCTGTATGGTGAGTACTTTAAAGATTGTATCTTTGTTTAGCTGTTTCTGGTGTTAAATGGTAAAACTGTGCTTAATGGATTGTTCTGATCGAGTTTGGTGGTATTCAGGGAGAAGCTCCAGCTTTCTTTGCTGATAGTCTTATGGGAGATTTTCCAAAGAAAGTTGATTCGAAATCGAAGGGCAATGAAAGGGCTATCGTTGTTGGGAGTAAAATAGTATGATGATTCAATATATACTGATTTAATGCAATTTATTCGTTTTTATTAGCTATCAATGAAATGTTTTCTTTCCTTATTTTCATCAGTATGTGATTGATGGGGTAGATCATGAATTGGGGTCGACTATTGGAGTTCGAATCTTTGATAAGTCTAGTGGGGAATGGTGAGTCTTCTGTTGTAGTTGGTTACGCTTGAACTGTTTATAGTTGTTCTGTAGCTGTTACATAGGATGAAAAATGTATGAATGGATTTTGCAGGAGAATCCCCATTGTGTTGGGAGCAAAACCCAAGCCATCTAAGGACTACTCAGCTGTGCTTTTAAATGATGATCGCGTGTTAGTTGTTAGAGGGAACTCTGGTTCTAGTGAATGCTTTTGGTTTCTTGAGGTCAGTAAATCTCATGCTCACATGTTCCAAATGCTAATCTCTTTAACTTTTTGATTTGTAATGTCAAAACCTTTCGCGGAGTTTGTTGCTGATTTTTTTATGCTCTGCATGAAAAGGATAAATAGGAAAACTGCTTAGCTATTGACAACAATATCATTTGTTTGTTGAATAATGTCAAAATGAAATAACGAGTACAATAATTTGCGTTAATGAATTAATTCTAGAACCTCTTCTCCGTGTTATGTCCAAAGCTCTGTCATGCTTTTATAGGTGGGCACTCCATTTGTTAGACAACATGAAAAGACTTTAGGGAATGAGGTGGTTGCCTGGAGCAAAGGAGTTTTAGGCAATGTTGAGAAGCCTATTGTCATTAGTGGCCCTTCTGGAGTGGGTAAGGGCACCCTGATATCAAAGCTAATGAAAGATTTTCCATCCATGTTCGGATTTTCTGTGAGCCACACAACTCGAGCACCAAGAGCGAAGGAGCAGAATGGGATTCATTACCATTTTACTGACCGCAATGTGATGGAGAGAGAGGTAAAGGATGGCAAGTTTCTTGAGTTTGCTTCTGTTCATGGTAATCTGTATGGAACAAGTGTAGAAGCTGTTGAGGTTGTTGCTGATGCTGGCAAGGTATTTGTTCTTCCATGTTATTTATTCCGTTAAATATTGGTTTTCTTTTTATCATTTATCGATGCATAAACTGCAATGTTTCTATAATTTAGTTAATGATATTCTTTTTGAAGGTTAGCACTCAAATCTTTTTTTTTTAATGACGTAAGAACTTAAATGTACCTCAAAGAAAGAAGGGAAATTCTCTCTTTGATGGACCCCTATGGTTATCGCTGCATTTAGCTTTTTAGATTCTCCCTGAGAATAAATGCCCAACTTTTTAATTCTATCCCCATGGAGAGTAGATGCTCAGAATTGTGATATTTTGGCAAATAAGATGACTAACATCTGTAAGTTTTGGAATCTGTCAAACCGTTAGATCCTAAAGCCCTAGTGAGCCACATGATTGGGTACTTTCACACCTATGCACTAGCCGGCCACCAGAGTCGTGCTTTTGTACTATATTTTAGGAGTAGAATATTTATTTGTAATTGTAAATGTGCTTTCACATGTCATGCAAGTTAGGTCTCTTGAAGCTGGCATTGTGGCAACTACTATCTTTTTTAATTTATTGTAGGGATTGTACAATTAACTCATTTCATTGTTCTATTGGGATATAGCTCGACTCTTCTAAGTGAGTGTTCATTTTTTCTGAAACTTCTATCACACAGCTCAAGTTTTCACTGGATACGGCTAAGGTTTCTCGTTGTTTTTTTGTCTATCACTCCCCAGGGACACTGCCCTCCTCAGCCTACCCTCCTCTTTTCGTCCCCACTGTCTAAAATAAGGAAAAAAGTAGTTATACACTGCAGTGGATGAGGATTTTGATAATTTACCTATCAGTTCTTTTAAAAGATGAAGATTTTTGTCAGTTCTTAGATATTTACAAATGGCATCACACTTTGCATGTGCATTACATTGGTTGTTTCCTCTACAACCTTCAAAAACGGTTTAGTTCTGTGTGATTGTGTAGAGATGTATGCTTGATATCGATGTTCAAGGAGCAAGGTCTGTGAGGGCTAGCGCTCTTGAAGCCATTTTCATTTTCATCTCTCCTCCTTCTTTTGAAGAGCTTGAGAAGCGTCTTCGTGCAAGGTGGGCTAATCAAGAAATTCAAAGTTTCTCATCTTACATGCTGTTTAGTTATAAGAAGTATCGTCCATATTTTGAACAGGGCAACTGAGACCGAGGAACAAATCCAAAAGCGTCTCCGGAATGCTAGGGCAGAACTTGAACAAGGAAAATCATCTGGTCTGTTTGATCATATTTTGGTAAACGATGATCTTGAAACTTGTTATGAGAAACTCAAGGTGATTCTATTTAAAAACCTCATCTTTTCCTATTTTATATGTAAACGTCTTATCTAACAGACAATAATTCTTATGAAAAGAATATAATGACATCTACTAACATAACATAATGTATCTTTCAATTGATGTAGAACACTTTGTGTCTAAGAGAAGCTGCGAAATCTGCTCCTAAGACAAGTAAGTGCTAATATTTTGATGCCGTAGTTCTCTTCTTGATTAAAGATCAAATTATGCACCACTACTGGTTCCGTGATCTTTTCACAACTACAGTTCCAGAATCATTCAACTTGTCCATTGAACATCCAGTGTCAAAGATCGATCAAAAGCTTCTGATCAACTGTGGTGCTGCGGAACATGAAAATGCATCAAATAACACGTATGTTATCTCTTTTTCTAGATAGTCGATTATCCATATTATATGAGAATTCTAGAGTCTGGAGCGTCTGTTGCAGGTACATTCTGGACTTGTCTTTGCTCAAAGGAGGAGCCCCTGGACGGACAAGAGGACTAAACATATATGCTATTAATCCTTTGACTGATGATGTGAATGGCAACAACCAGCTAAACTTAACATCCCGTTTTGATTGACCACATCTTTTCTTCTTTTAAGTCGATGCAGAGGGCTGGAGCCCCTTTGAAAGAACCACAATTTTGACTTCCCGGTAACATTCTTGGATTGCAACAATGATTCAGAGATCCATGTTAGTGTACTATTCAAAGAAAACATGTGTTGGATAGGGTGCTTTTCGATCTTTTATCTATTTTGTTTCGTTTCTTCTAAAAGCTTATTCATTTAAATTATAGTCATTATCATGAAGTTTCAAATTCTACGAGTGAAACTTCAAGACGTTGTAGAATATGTAAGCTTAGACAAACACCATGATATTGCTTTCCCTTCTCTTTTTAATGTTGTTATTCTTACATCTATGATTATAATTCCCCTCAAAGTTATACAAACACCTTATATATCATACATGCCTCACTGAAAACCTAAAACATACACTACAAGTATTGTTTATTACATATACATATGATAATTACAACTGCAGGGATATTGGATATTTACATAACTCCCAAAAGAGTAAATTAAACTATAGTATGTATCATTCAGATGGGTATCAATTAAGTGGTACTTATGACTCGAAGACCAAGTCAAAAGACTACTAGATGTCTTGCAGAGTAACTCAAAAGACTACTAGAAGTCTTGCAGAGCAACTCAAAAGACTACTAGACATCTTGCAGAGTGACTCAAAAGACTACTAGACGTCTTGCAGACGTCTTGCAGACGTCTTGCAGAGCGATTCTCTTCAGAAATGTTCTGAGTGCATGCAGTTGCAATGGTTGTTGTCATTGAGGTTCCACTGATAATGACAACCCAATTGAAGATTTTCTGTAGTATCATGTATTCCAGATTGGAACTGAAATCCTCCAACAGAATTACTATGATTGGATGATCCAATTTCATGTTCATAATTGAGTAGGTAATTTGGAGAAGAATCAGAATCCATTGAACTTTTGCCTTTACTACTTGGAGTAGTGTTGTTATTAGTTGTAGTAGTAGATTGGATCTTCTTCTTTGTGTTGAGAAATCTACCTCCACCATCTCTAGCTCTCCTCATCGCGTGTCGATGACGCGATTCGTGAAGATAAGGCTGATTTGCGTACATACATTTTGAACAAACAAAATAACATCATTTGTTGTTTCTGTGCGTTCAACTGATTCCATTATGTTATGTATATGCATACGAAGATAGGGAAAATCTATATACATTTGAACAAACAAAACAACATCATTTACCTGTCGTCTCTGCGCGTTCAACCGGTCCCATTACTTTTGACTCAAACTATATATGTACATGCATATGGAGATACGGCTGATATACATTTGAATAAACAAAACAACATCAATTGTCCTCAAACTATAGATGCATACATATGAAGATAAGACTGATATACATTTGAACAGACAACATCATTTACCTGTTGTCTTTGTGAGTTCAACTGGTTCCATTACTTTCGATGCAACTATATATGTATATGCATATGAATATACACTTGAACAAACACAATAACATCATTAATCACCTGACCTTTTTCATGTATATATCATGAGTTAGCCCAATTAGAGCCTGTTTTAGGGTCGTGGATGTCTGTATGTTTCATTACTTTCGACTCAAACTATCAATACATATGCAAAAAAGAAAACATTTGTATGCATATCATAAGATAATTAATACTCATTTATTGAACGAACTGACTCTAGATTCTGAATTCCCTCACCATTCATAGGTATCTATGCCTAATAGTAACAAGTGTATATCTACGTGATCGATGAGCTTAACCAATTCATAAAATGTATTCAAATTATAATTATTAATAAGAACACTTCTCCAATTAAAATGTTTGTTGATAAAATTGACAAAATTAAGATGCATGAGTAGAGTGATCAACTATTCTTTTAAAAAATGTCGATGGATGTGTGTTGACTTCTTCAAAAGATCAGATATAGATGTGACAACATTTTTGGAGAGTCCGAGCAACATAATTAGTCTTAGCAACATAATTAGTCTTAGCAATCAAGAAAATTCAACTTTTATAGTCGCTGAAAATATGTCCAAATAGTAATTAAGACAAACAAATCGAAACGAAGGGATTACCTTTCGAGATTTGACCACTTTTTGCTGCAACACAGCCTTAGCACGAAGTTGCCTTCGTCTAAGAATTCCATGGTATTGTTTTGCATTTACATACATTGGCTCCTCTTTCACTTCAACTGGTAAAATCATTCTTCCATTATGATGCACTGTTGATGATCTCTCCATATTTTGATTTACCTGTTTATAAAAGGGAAAATTCCGCGATAACGTTATGTTTTACTATGATACTATATGTTGAAGGGTACATGTGATAATCATATTTAAATGCTTAAGTTATTAGAGAGAGCAAATTGTGTAAATATTTAGTATAAAACTATTTACCTAACTATTATCGTATGAATGATCTGATTGTGTAAATATTTTTTACGAACATGAAATCACATAAAGAGAAGGACATACCATAGGTTCACCACAAGCAATAGTAACATTGCCACCAGAATATTGTGGTACTTCTGAATAGGGATATGGTTTAAATGCCTGAATATTTTATAAATATAAGTATTAGTAAATTAAATAACTAATTCCAATCACATTTCAAATAATTAATTAAAAAAAAAAGAGGAAAATATTACTCACAATTGAGGAGGGTGCCATTAGTTCAAGTTGATTTGCTGCTCTTAAATTTTCACCCATGATTGGAGGCATAAATTCTACATGTTTGCCTTCTCTCTTGGAATCACCATCTGCTAAATCAAAAAAATAATCTCAAATTATTAATCGTTTCTTATTTCTCGAGATATAAATTATGTGAATTTTGGTTAATATTTTAAAATTATGTTATTTTTAGGGTAGGTGGAAGACTACGTACTCACAATCCTGTTCATCAGATTTCACTTGTGAAATTATATTTGATATGTTATTGTTCATCGTATGATAGATCACAAGAAGAATTGCGACTATAAAATTAATTCTCCGAAAAGGGAAAAGTGACACTAATGATAAAAATATATAGAAAGTTCCAATATTATATCATACCCGAATTTTGAAACATTGGACTTTCCACTTCGCCACAAGAACCGGCTCCGATTTCTGATCATATATTAAAAAAACTTATAAATGGATATATTACAGGGGTGAGTAATTATTGTAGTGGATAAGTTATTTTATTTTTAAGATTATAGTTTAAGTTTTTACGAAGAAATATATGCACAAATATTTGGATGATAGTTTTTTATTCAATAATTTTTATTTTACCACCCAATTTTCTATTTTTCTCTTGCCACTATTTAAATTTTGACATAATAGAAAAAGTCATACCAAAAATAACAATATCACTAGAATCTAGATCAAAATTCTAACGAATTGTCAGAAGACTTTCCTGAACAACAAAAAGTTATATGATAATCAATCAACGAAATTACTAACAGTGATCACCATAACATATGTACAAAAACTTATCATCACAACATGCATGTTATGATAATCACCAAAAAATTGACCATAAATTCCGATGGATTGCCAGAATTTTCAACCTTAGAAGAAGAAGAACCAACAAAAACATAAGGAAGAGGAAAGAAATCGTAGCGAATATATATATATATATATTTGCATAATTTTTCTTAACAATATGGTCAAAAATTAAATATGTGTCCTTCCTAATTAGTCCACTCTGCGTTCCTAATGATAATAACAACAATAATTATATCTTGATCACAAATCATTAAGTTAAAAATCGATTATAACATCAGACATAACAAAACCAAATAAATCAACAAGCAATTCTTCCTACATCAACCAAAAAATAATAAGTCATAGAAAAACAATAAGCAAGAAGAATATATTTACCCCCCTTAAGCCAACAAAATATGAATCAAGAAAATGAAAGCAATAGACATGTCAAGCTAAATTGACATATAATTAAATTCTCAAAAATTTCCCAATCAAGCAAGAAAAATAAGAGGAAAATTAAAGAAGACTCACATGAGATATAATTGATTGGAAGAGAAAATATATGTTAATAAGCTTTCTCTTTGTGGAAATATTGTATCTCAACCATATAAAGATTAATAAATATATATGGGGTTTAACATGGTCTATTCATAATTGTGCATGCTAAGTTAGAATAAAATAAAATAAAATAGAAAGAGAGAATCAAAGAAGAGAAGATAAGAAAGTGATGTGTGAATATTTAAATATAAAAACACAATCTAGGATTACCATTGTAAGACGTACAATGATATGTCCATTATTCTAATAGTAAATGACTAAAAGGCACTTGTTTAATATTCTTCTCTATTTTTGTCTATTATAATATATGCTCTCTTTGTATAAGAAGATGAAATTAATTGTGAGAAATGTTTTTTTAATTCATATGAAAATTTAATAAGAAACATGATTAGGTATAAGATAAGGTCATTTTGTTAGATTTTTTTGGGAATCATGCCTAAAATGGTTAGGTGGTAGATCTATCCAAAGTGGACCAACAATTAGAGGTTATCTATATGAAATTCTTCTTTTTATCACAGGAGAGAAATGAATTTTGCTAATTATATTGAGATTTCAATGTAGATATCGAATAAATAAAAAAAATATTAAAAAATACTTTAATTTCAATTCAAAACTTCAATCAAAATATTTGAATTTTATAAAAATAAGTAAATAGACGCATCGCATTATGAAGTATTCACGTAAATATCAATGACTGATTTCACCAACTCAAGCTCCTAAAATATTGGTTAAGCAAAAGAGATCTTTAGACTAGCTCCACTTTCACTTCAGAATCTTTGAATTATAATTAAGATAATAAGTACTTTAAAAATCTCCTTTTAAGTTATATCATTTATTTAAATCTTTTAATCTTAACCATATCAGGTAAGATATTGAAATTTATAATGTGCATTAATCTTTAAAGATGGTGATGAATAGTTAATACTTTCTCCATTTAAAAAAGAATGACCTCCTTTCTTTTTTAGTCTGTTTAAAAAAAATGACCTCTTTCCTCTTTTGGTAACATTTTAATTTCAGCTTTCCACATGACATATTTAAAGCCACAAAAGTCATCTTTATTTTCTAAAACTTCATGTCAAATCAAACCAGGTCACTCTTTTTTAAACGGAGAGAGTCCACTATATTAGATAAACTAACTTCATCCTTATTTTCTCAAAAAAAAAAAACCAAAAAAGGATAAAATAGTAAAAACACAAAAACAAGACAATAGTGGAAAATATTGATAATTCCAATATTAGAAAGTGGACAAAACGTGTCCTTTTTTAAATAGTGAATTCCTTTAACTTTTAGCCCCAAAATTGCCGCGTGTGTACGGCTATTCAATCTCGAAGCGTGATGACTCAACAGTCAATATAACGGCGCAACGCCGTTAACTCCCCTTCTCATTTGTCTTGTCGGGTAATTAGGTGGCAAACGTTTACCAATAAAATCGTTTCTATTACTATATTAGTGGATCGTTATATAAAAATAATTGTCACATATTAATTGATTATCTTATTAAATAAAAAAAATATTAATTAAACTTTTTCTACATTATCCTAACAATTAATACTTTTTGAAATTGATCACAGTTATTTGTAAAATTTCCAAGAAATTCTTTATGATTTTTTATACACCGTGTAAAATAAAAAGTGATCAACTGATATGAGACGGAACCGACAGAAGGAGTAAGACGACATTTCACGAGTCTTCGTGAAAGCGACCGTTAACTTTCCACGCGTCCAACCCAAACTAATAATGGAGTAAACGTTCTGCAGTTTAAAATATAGCCAAACAAGTGTGCTAATGTTTCCTAGTGCAATTATGGAAAATATGAACAAAATCAAAATGAATAGTTCCTAACCTTATCACCTTTTTACTTAAGTCTTGAGTCGTGTTCAAGATTTAATATATATGTATTAAAAAAAATTAATTTTTGATTTATATATTGTAAATAATATTTTATATATATAATATACTTTTTCTGCTAAGGGTGTAATTTCTTCGCTATATGTGACTACATCACTGCCTAGATCTCATTTATTGGATTCACGAGATATGTTATTGTTGATGTTATTGTAATTGCAACATGTATTTCAAGTTAGAGTTTTGCCACTATTAAGAGTTTAACCTATAGATTCACGAGGATTGAGTAGTTTTTGCTCATTCTTTACTAAATGTGTATAAATATTTGATTATGGATCTTATTATTATTGTAGTTTAATTTGAGATTATCGATAGAAATTCATAATTTTCAAATTCTGAATTTACGTTTATAAGTTGTAGATCTATGAAGTTTAACCTATAGCTCGTCCTCCCCCTAAATCCTACCTATAACGTATGATTAAATACACCATATAAAGGATGTTGAAAAAAAAGTTTTCCACCATATTATAATGGCTAGGATTTATAAAGAATATACTCTGCATATTCTAAAAGATATCTAGGTTGGCTTCACAAGAACTTTTGATGATCGATGATATACGTTGTGTTATAAGAATAAACCTATAAGTAATTTAAAACATGATCTTAATTATTTACGTTAAATTATCATTTCTTCAAAAACCACGTGATTTTAAAACCAAAATGGAAATTAAGAAAAAAAATTTGAAAGTGATTTATAATCTTATAGATGCTAAATATAGTAAACTTCAATGACACTTCTCTCTCACATAAATTCTTATAAGATTCTTGACGTTTTTGTGTGGTTGTCTGGTCGAGTAAACGTCACAACTCACATGCTCTTTTATTTTTTAGTTTAAGACGGTCTGGCGTACTAAGTTCTCGCTATGTATAAGATTCAAGGAAAAATCAAACTACAAGGATATATTGTACGAGACTTATCATGTAATTATGCAAGAAAACGCTTCCTTAGTCAGATGACAATAACTTTACCATTTACGTTAAGACTTTCGTCAAAATTGACCCCAATAACTCTTTGAGCAACTAACACTTAGTTCAATGACTTTAATGAGACAAAAAATAGTTTTGTGAACTTTGGTGATACAAGAGGTAAAATTTATTTACTCAAGTGTGATATTAGACTGAATTAAGATAATTATCGGTATAAATTTAAAATATAATGCGTTCAATAGTAAAATTCTCAAAATCCTGAATACGTCTCTTAGATAAACTTGTTGAAATTTTGAACTTTACCTGTGAGAATTGAAGCTTCTTGTTCTTTGAGATCCTTGTGGTTGAAATTTTTGAAGATCTATTTCATGAGTTGTTGTTGTGCAGTAGCAAGGTACTTCAGAGACAAGAGGAGAAGAAAAAAGGGGGAAATTAAGCCAAATTTATTTTCTGTTGATTATGGCCAAGTGAATGGTGGATACAAGTCCCATGTGTTAGACTGGCTCTGATATTGACGGAGACATATGAACTAGGACCAGTGACGGAGTCACCTTTGTACAAGAGAGTTGAAAATTAGACTGTAGATGTTGAATCACTTTTGACTTTTTTGTGTTTACTTAGTGAAAGTCTATATTCCGATTGTATTGACCTTTTATTACTTATCCCGTGTCATTATCTAGACATTTCATTACTTATCGGTCTTCACCCCTCTCACTCCAGAGACGAAGCTAGTAAGGGCCCAGAGGTTCATCTACTAGGTGACAAACAGAAGTATATACTTTATAATATAGTTTTAACATAAGTTATGTACAGATAATGAAGCTTGAAGCAGCTTCCAAATGACATTGTTTTTCACTATGAATTTGAATAAGTCTTCCATGTAACTGCCTTCACATCCTTGATTCTATTAAGAGTAGAACACGAAAATCAATAGTAAGGTTTTCAAGAAGAGTTTAAGATATATGCACGGAAGGTCACATATAAATTAACTATTGGTACATTTCTATGATAACTGCGCTTTAATTGATAATGTGAAGAATCTCAGAGTAAAAAAGATTGAACTATTAGTACTGATGATTATATATATGGAGTATTATTTTTGTGCATTGCAATAATTTTTAAAAATTTTGAACCAGGATACATGGTATTTACGAATTGACAATGACTCCTGTAAATGCATATGATTTCCTGATTCTTTATCTTTACCTATACTCTTAATGTAGCACAAAACAACATCCTAGTACTTTATTAAACCTCTATTTCTTAACAACTTTATTACCTTGTCGTCAAGACTATACTCTTTCATAATTCAAGAAACATTATTAATTTTATCCTTTCCATCCTTTTTATTTTCTTTATATTTATAGAATGATTGGGTTATATAGTTTAGTGTAAAGGCGGTAAATTTAAACGAAATGGGATTAAAAAAGTTTCCTTATAGGTCAAAATCAGTTACTTGCATACAAATATGATTGGGCCTCGACCCAAAATCCAAATATGATTGGGCCTGACCCAAACAAGTCCGGCCCATTAAAACAGTTTCTTAGCTTCCTCACCTTTGCCACTTTACTTGTAGGCTGCCGCAAAATCTGCCCGTGACCGGTAAGTACTATAAAGTTTGTGTCCTTTTAGTTGGTTTTTGAGTTGAAATTGATGATTTATGACTTTTTGTGAATTGGGTTTCTGTTTCTTAGAACACGGAATATAACTTATGCTATTCAATGGTAAATCTTGTTTCATAAAGTTTGTGTCTTTTAGTTAGTTTTTGAGCTTCCATTGATTCTTTGTGACTTTTCGTGAATTGGGTTTCTGTTTCTTGGTAGAATAAGCATATAAACATTGAGGACTTATTTGATTTTGTACTGGAAATATTCTTATAATAGGTTATATAGCTTATGGTATTCAATGGTAAATCTTGTTTCATAAAGTTTGTGTCTTTTAGTTAGTTTTTGAGCTTCCATTGATGGTTCTGGATTTTTCTGAATTTTAATGGACTGGAGGAATTGTGTGATATTATACTAAAAAATCATTGAATATGGACTACAGATTATGCTATGGAATGGTAAATCTTGTTTCATGAAGTTTGCGTGTTTTAATTGGTTTTTGAGCTTCCATTGATGGTTTTGGATTTTCTATATTGGGTTTCTGTTTCTTGGTAGTTGGCATTTGAAATTGGAAGTTGTGATATTATAGTTGAAAATTCTTTGTACATGTACAAACTCTATCCCCAATCAGTTGGTGTTTCAAACATGTTAGAATATTGATTCTTCTATATGCTTACAAGTTATTCCTCCAAACTATAGCCTCATTTTGGGTTAAATATGTTCAGGTTCTTTTGCCTTTCAGTAGATAAACGTATGGATTGTTCAGCCATTGCCATAGTTCAAGCTCATCAACAAGAAGGATATGTGCAAAAAGGCGAGGGAGCCAGTATAATATAGTGGCGTCTAAAAGTCCAGATGTTCAGTAAAGTGTGCATTAACCAGCTATCCGTTGAGAGTGTTAGCTTGCCGCAAACAGCAAAGATGATTGATGCTTTCTCGCTCGTCTAAACTGCATATTCTTCTTAGTTTTGGGCTCAGAGCACGGGCCAACAGCAAGGTATATATAACTCAGTGTGTTTATTTTCTAGTGAATATCAATCTGCAGCCTCTCGCAGGATCTGAAAAGCCACAGTCGAACAGCACAGAAACACATACAGTCGTTGATGGCAATGATCGCCAGGAGAAGCAAGAGCTCTGTACCTCTCTTGCATGAAGTCCTCTTCTCCGGCCACCCTCTTCCCTGCTCATACACCCAGCGGCAGACCTATGTAGATGTGTACATGAAATGGAAGAAAGACTCTTTTTTTGACTCCATTGATACTATTCACAGATCAGTTCAACTCAAGCCTTTAATTGCTCTTAAGAACTGCATAGTCTCCTCTTCACCTAATGATTATTGCATCCCCATTTCTGTTATTTCGAAAAAAGGCTTAGAGTTAGGGATACCCATTAAGGTTGCCAGGTTCTTAAGGCTGTATCCATCTGTTTTTGAGGAATTTACTGGCCCTAACTACAATTTGCCTTGGTTTAAGTTGACCCAGAGGGCTATTGAGCTTGATAGAGAGGAGAGAGAGGTCTACTTAAAATTTAAGGATGATATCATTTTGAGGCTGAAGAAGTTGATACTGATGAGTGGCAGGGAACAGATGCTTCCTCTAAAGATAATTCAGGGTCTGCAATGGTATTTGGGGTTACCCGACGAATTCTTAAGGAAACCGGAAGACAATCTTGATGGGTGTTTCAGAGTTGTGGAAATAGAAGATGGATTGAAAGGGCTGGCCGTTAATGTTGATGGAAGTGAAAGGCTTTTATCAGTGATGCAGATGAATGCGATGAAGAGGGGAGTGTATAGTGGTGTGGACGGTGAGGCAATAGAATTTCCACTGTATCCATCAAAGGGATTGAGGCTTAAAAGAAAAATTGCAGACTGGTTTGATGAGTTTCAGAAGTTTCCATATGTTTCACCCTATGAGGATTTTTCAGATTTAGATCCAAATAGTGATATAGCAGAAAAACGAGTGGTGGGTGTACTTCATGAATTGCTTAGTTTGTTTGTCGAGCATGCTGCAGAAAGGAAGAGGCTTTTGTGTCTTAGGAAATACTTGGGGTTGCCGCAAAAAGTTCACAAGGCATTTGAGAGGCATCCTCATATCTTCAATTTGTCATTAATGAACAAGACTTGCACCGCAATACTAAAAGAAGCTTACTGTGATAGAGGGGCTATCGAGGAACATCCATTAGCAAAAGTTAGAAAAAGGTACATCAAATTGATGAAGGAGTCGGAGGGTATACTGAAACGTAAAAGGTTTAACAACAGGCCAATTGATCAGGGTGACTCGAATATCAAGGACTTGGATTGTACAGATGATGAGGATAAGAAATTTACAACTTAACTCTGCTCTTTATGCTTGTGTCACTATAATCAGGTGCAGGATTTAAAAGAAATTATAAACGAGAAGGAAAAGAAAATTGAAAGAACTGTTCAAGCAGGATTTGTAGGCATTTGGAATGAAATGAAAAGACTGTTTGATCTCTATAGCTTCAGAGGTGGATGTTTCTCTCATTTATGCTGCAGTTCTTTCATCCATTAAGGGTGATTTCAGTATGAAGGGGATGGCCACAGTCATACGAAGGAATAGTCATACTATTAAGTATTACCAATGGAGCCTCAAAGTCTTGATCAATGGTATATGATTAGCTTACATGATGTATTATTAGCTGACTGATGCCCCCCTCTCATGTCTTCTATATATGACATGCTTGACACTTTTATGTAACAATGTTGGATAGTTTTATGTCGTTTTTCCTTGACATAAAATTACTATTCCTTGTGATCTATCATAACTTTTTTCTTAGTTTCATGCTTTCCTTTGTTGTTTCTTCATGTGTAGCCACCTGACCATGGCATTGATTTCTGCTCGGTTTTCTCAACTTTGAAATTATTGACGTGGGAGCATGCTCATCGAGTCTTTGCTCTTTCAAGCATCCAACACCACATGGAACTAAATTGTCCTTGTTGATGCGTTTATGTTTAGTTCCAAGAGTAGATGCTTTGTCTAGTTTTTGAGTGAACTGTGGATTGTGCATGTTTAATCTTTGCTCGTTACAATCCTCTATCAGGAACCTCTTGTGACTTTTTGGTGTAGTTCGTCAAAACAGAGAAGCCTCCATTGCAGACTGCAGAAACTATGATGGATGGCTTTGGGGATTGAGAGGAAGTCTTTCTTACCGGAAGATAGAAGAATATACACGAACACTTCAGCATCATTGAAAGTAGCAGCACAGAGCTGGCATTATAAGGAAACTACTTAAAGAATTCTTGAAGATAAGCATAGATCAATATATGTAATGAAATGTAGTGTCTTATAATTGCTATGTTCCTGTTTGAACTGTGCATTACAACCAAGAAGTAAAATTTTGTGGACGTTTTGAATTCCCTACATGTTTAAGGGAACATAAAGTCCCCTTTTTCTGTACATTTTTGGCACCTTGTTGGTGCAATCAATGAATTTATAGCAGTAACAAATAAAACTGTGATCATTATGATTCTCAGTATTTCAAGCATGCATGTTGACAATTTTTTAGATTTTTTATTGAGAAGTTGTTTGAGTTATCATGAAATATTCATGTTGAGCCCAATTTGTGATCTTAAACTTGTATAAGGGTTACTTCTTACACTGGGTGAGTAGTGATGCTTCAATCCCAAGCAAGTTGGAGTTGGAGTCGACTATGTGAATCTCCACTTTCCATTTAGGCCAATGAAGCAAAATAGTGACTGTACATTTACAGTAGCAAATTAAACCAGAAATCTGTTTCTTTTGATTTGTAAAACCTCTCAATATGTTCCCTACTCCAATGGTATTATTGCGAAGGGCCCAATGTAGTGGCGAACACAAGATTTTCACCAAGAGGGTTCAACATTATATATACATAAAGATTTTAATGTTGCATATGAAATGCCAAACCTCCATTTACACATAGACAAGAAAAAAGAAGTATATATGATTGAAGGCCTTGTACAGAATGGTACATATCAAGAACTGTTTCTGGTTTTAACCCTTCCCATATAACCTCCTTACTCGCTCTAATATGAAAATTGAAATTACAACCTCGGAGCTGATCGTCAGAGAAGAACAGCAACCTCAGACAATATACATAGTTTAACTATTTTTAGACCACTAGTCTAGGCTAAGAACAGTGAGTTTCGTACCGTTTTGTATTTCTACAGGGGTTTTCATGATCTGAAGGTCTGAGATTAAGCAGAGACTTTTGGATGATACGAGTTTTGATTCAACTCTGTGTAACCTCTTGAAGCATTTCTATCACCTTCTTCATTCTTGGTCGTTTTGCTGGAATGGTATCGGTGCACATCAATGCGACTTTTAGAGTTGCAAGCATTTCTTTCCTCCAAGCAAACGAAATGGTGCTAAGTCTTGCATCAAGTATCTGCTCTGGTGTTTCTCCTCTCGCAGAAGCACCATGAACCCACCTGACCAGATCAACTCCTTCACCAAAAGCTTCATCAACGGGTAGTCGGGTGGTAAGGATCTCGAGCAAAACAACGCCATAGCTATAAACATTTCCGGGAGCTGTTACTTGCATTGTATATGCATACTCTGTTGAAGAAAAAGGAACTAGTCAGACACCAGACATTTTCCACAAAAAGAAAATACTCCCTCCGTTTCAATTTGTTTGTCTGGCAGATAGAATATACAAAATGTCCATGGTCTTAATAATGTCAGGTGTAAAGTTAAAATTAAAGAGTTACAAAGAAAGGAAAGACATTTTTTTTAAACCGACTAAAAAGGAAAGTAAGACAAACAAATTGAACCACAAGGTAGTAAAATGATTAGCCAAGTCTTTCAAGCCATAGAATATACCTGGGGGAATGTATCCAAATGAGCCAGCAACAGCACTAATACTTGCAGTCCCTCTAGATGGATCAAGAAGTCGGGATATTTCAACTTCAGCAACCAAAGGGGTGAATTTAGAATCAAGAAACACATTCCCTGAAGAAACATCAAGATGGATTATGGCCACGTGATGAAGGAACACTAACCCTTCTGCAACTCCAATGGCAATGGAAAGTCTTGTAGGCCAGTCAGGTTCGTACACAGGTTTCTGGCTAAACTCATGAAGAAACTGAGCCAATGTCCCATTGGGATAGTATTGATGTAAGAGTAGAACAACATCCTCATAGATTGCAAACCCGATAGGCCTCGTCAGATTATCATGACAGAGTTTACTTAGCTTTTCAAGCTCTCTGATCATCTTGCTCTGGTGATGAACTATAGTCTTGTCCATCGACTTTAAGCTCTTAACATACAAAATCATCCCGGAAGGCATGTCTGCTCTATACACATCACTGAAAGTTCCAGTACTAATCTTATTTGTATCTTTCCTGACTGCCTTTACAACTGCATCAAAATCTATTGCTTGCTTGAGATTTTCATCGAAAACATTCCCTGCTATGATCACTGGTTTGCTACAAGTTTCATCAGTGGTATTTCCATCTTCCATGGTGGTTTTCTCTTGTTTCTCCCTCATCATGTATAGTAAAACAACCACTGTGACAGCTGTAAAAATTGCCAAACCAGAACCAACAACAGCCAAGATGAGCCGGTAGGAAACTCGGTGATGATTACCGTTGTGTTCAAAATCATATCCACAATCACTACTCAAAGGCTCACCACAGAGCCCTTTGTTTCCAAGAAAGCTTGAATTTAAGCTCTTCTCAAATGGAGCAAAAGCAGGTATTGGTCCTGTGAATTGATTGCTCGAAAAGTTAACCTCTATCAAGCTCAACATGCCCTTCAATTCCAATGGAATATTCCCTGACAGCTGATTATTCGATACATCTAAAGAAACCAACTTGTCAAGTTTTCCAAGATCCTTAGGCAACTGTCCATGGAGATGATTATGACTCAAATTCAATGAAATCTGTAAGTTCTTCATATGACCAATCTCAGAAGGGATGCTTCCAGTAAGATAATTACTCCCCATTTGCAACTCAAGCAGTTTTACGCAGTTCCCAATCTCACGAGGTATATCCCCTTTCAAGGAATTCTGTCCCAACAGCAAGAACTGCAATTTAGTTGTGTTGCATATATCTCCTGGAATGGTTCCATTGAACTTGTTGTTACTTAAATCAAGCTTGTTGAGATTCTTGCACCTCAGAACTGAAGTCGGAATCTCTCCATAGAGATTATTCCCTGGAACAATCAACTCCTGTAGATTATTGAGCTCACCAAACTCTGGAGGGATAGTTCCGGAAAATCCATTCGAAGCTAAATTAAGAAGAGTGAGATTAGAGCATTTCGCAAATCCTGAGACGATTTCCCCGGAAAGTGTGTTATTATCTGCTTCAAAATAAGTAAGACTACTTATATTTCCAATTCCTTTAGGGATATCACCTATCAGCTTGTTATTCCCAATTCTAATGCTTGAAAGGCCTTTGCAATTCACAATTGAATCAGGAATAGTGCCAGTCAACTTATTATTAGTCAGAACTAAAAATTCAAGCTTTTCCATAGCAAAAATACTCTCAGGAATTGTCCCTTCAAGCTGATTTGAATGAAGATTTAACAACAAAAGCTCAGAATGTAAGCCTAAGTTAACTGGAATATCACCACTAAACTCATTCTCATAGGCTGCAAACACTCTAAGATTAGTCAAATTCCCAATCCACATAGGAATAAAACCACTCAATTTGTTAGTAAATATTTGGAAATAAAGCAAATTCTCCATCCCTTCAAGCTCATCAGGTATTGAACCAGTGAGCAAATTGTTTGAAAGGTTCAATGCTCTAAGGTTCTTGAGCTTACCTAATTCACCAGGAATAGAGTTTCTAAACATGTTAAAAGACAAATCAAGAAACTGAAGCTCAGACAAATTCCCAAATGCTTGTGGGATTGAACCTTTGAAATTGTTATTAGAAAGGTCCAGCCATTTCAATCCTTTGAGCTCAGATATTAGAGTCACATTACCTTGTAATCGAAAACCCGAAAGATTCAGCCTTTCCACCATTGAACTGTTTGAGCTGCTGCAACTAATGCTATGCCAAGAACAGAAATCAGTGCTATTCAGATCCCAACCAGGTATTGCTAGCTCTTTGCCAATTGCTTCCAAAATGGCTTGTTCATGAAGAGCCTGTACAATCCCAAATTGAGACCTTAATAACAACCCCACCAGCAAAACAGTGAACAACCTCAAAGTTACCATTTTTAAGTTGTTTTTTTCAAGAAAATCTTCAATTTCTTCCCTTTTTTCCCCAAAAAGAAAAAAGCCCAAATGGAACAATCAAGAAACCATAAAGAAACAAAATGCTAGAACCCAAAAACCAAGAAACCTTGTAGAGACAACTAGAGTAGAAACAGAAGGGTTTAGAAAACAAAAGATACAAACTTGAACAACTTAAAGGAAATGAACCATTTCAAGAATCTTGAAAATGAAACAGAACAATAAAGATGCAATCTTTACTACTCAAGAATGAACCCCATGTACCAAAAACAACAAATAAGTTGCAGAAGTGATAAAAATTGCAGTTTCAAGTACAAATAGAAGAAAGATACAAACTTGAACAACTTAAAGGAAATAACCCATTTCAAGAATCTTGAAAATGGAACAGAACAATAAAGATTCAATCTTTACTACTAAAGAATGAACCCCATGTACCAAAAACAACAAATAAGTTGCAGAACTGATAAAAATTGTAGTTTTTAAGGACAAATAGAAGAAAGATGATGCAAATGGGGTACTTATTTTGATTTAGGAAACTGCTTACATGGGCCAGGTGTTTTTCTTTTTTCTCTATTGGAATTTCTGAAAAGAGAAAAGAGAGTTTGGGAGAGAGAATCTATGCTACTAATGACTACTACTTATTTGAGTACTCAAACTCAAACTGACAATGTCACGAGAAAAGAGCAGTGTGAGTGAATGAAACTGTGTATATGAGTCTCTGCAACTGCTACTTATGAATACTTCCAATAGAATGTGTTATTTACACGGCACAAATCTGAATTAATCGGATAACTGAATTACGAATGTCATATGTTAATGGTTTAGTTTGGTGATGTAGTTCAAATAATTTTAACTATGACATGGCATACTCTTTTTTAGTCTGTTCGAAAAGAAACGTCACATTTCTATCAATGAAAATAATTTACTTTGAAACTCATGTTACCTACCACGTAAATAGTCGAGAAATATTTAAATGATAAATTTCAAAAGTGTTCATTTCATGTCATGTTGTCCAAAGATGGAAGGGAAAGACCTACAACGACAATAACGACAAAACTTTTCAAATAATTGACTCATTTACCAAACAAAGTCTCGTGAAATCTTCTCTCTTTGCCTTCTATGTTACATAAAAAATGACTTGCAAGTTTTATTATGATTGATCTTCATCAGTTATTCCTTGTTCGTTAATTTCATTATCAAGAAGTATACCTACAACTTCTTGTATTAATTCTCCCGCGCATGTATATAAACAACGAAGCTAGGAATTTCGATAAAAAAATTCAAAAAAAAAGAGATTTTTTTTTGTGTTAGAGAGATGCAATAACTTGTATATGCATCAGTAAAATTATTTGTACTCTATTTACAAAATGTAATTTTTTAATGAAAGAGAATCAACCTCTTGCCTATGCATATATCTATTTCTTGTTGATATATAGTAGATCGTTGATGGTATAATTCTATTAAATAACTCTTCTAAAAAGTTCATTAATATCCAATAATAAGTTTTTCATTTCTAAATCTCTCATTTAATAATATGCTCTTATGGATATGTAATGTCACGATATATTTGAGATCATAAATTTTACTTAACTTTTACTATGTGTCATAAATTTGCATGCCACTTCAAATTCAAGGTATAATAATAAGAATTATTATTATTATTTTGGAGGGACAATAACAGGAAGAACAAAGTAAATAAAAAGTATAATTACATATGCCTAGGATTCCGTCCCATGTGAGTAATGTCATGTTGGTCTTCTGTCCTGTCATTCTCGATATGACATAACGAGAAATACCTAAAATGTTTTTTTTTATTATATATATATATATATAATTAAAATCATATGTTATAATATTTCGATGATTCGTATCGAAATCGTGTTTTACCCCTTAGATAACATGTCTATGCATTTCAGGGAGAACCCGTTAGTTTTAGACGTGAGTGACATTTTACACCTAATCGAAACGTGAGTCTATCTATAATTGAGTGAATTTTAAAGAGATGTATAACTTTAAGGAGCTAACTTAAACCTAATCGATCGTTACTTGTGAGAAAATTGACTCTTTTTTTTTTAATCTTAGATGATTGTGTCATCTAGGAAATTAAATGATCAACTAGTATTCATCATATAATTTCCAACAAGTATGTTACAATTGAATTGATTATTTTTTATTAATATTAAATGATAAATACTTATAATAGGTGAATATAACGAAGTTCTTATAATAATAATTATTATTATTTGATATTCAATATTTGTTGAGCTGATAAATTTAAATTCACCTCAATAAGGGGTAATTATAAAGGAAACACTCCTTATTAGAAAATTTTCTATTCTCATGACTAGCTCAAACTCGAGATATTTGATTAATAATGAAAAATTATATCCATTTTACATCTTTAGATGGTCCTGTTATTATTGTATTAATATAAGAGATTTATTTAAGCCTTAGGATTTGCATATTATGCATTTTTGGGACATGATTAGACCTACATATTAGTATCAAACTAGACATACATTAAATTATTTGTAGGATTGAAAAATAATTTCTAGAGATTTGACCTTCAATTGTAAATGTTGATTAGATTATGTAGTTCTTCCAAAGCAGCATTATTGATATAATATAAAGTTTAAAGGAGGGATAATTTGAAGGGAAATTAATTGAATTATTTGAGAAGGTGAAAGGACCCACTAGTAATGGGCAAAAGGTTACAAGTAGGGCCTTTGCATGTCTCTATAATTGTTAGGTAAAATAAATAAAAATAAAAATAGTACATCACCACCTATTAAAACATAAAATAAAATAAAAATATGTATGAATATATGGAAATTAAGAAAATGGAAAAAAATTTGTATATTTAAAATTAAAATTAAAATTAACTAATAGGATAGTTGTTATGAAGTATGAACTTTGTTAGTGTTAGTGATGGATTATGTTTAAACTGTAGCTAGAACAATAGATATGAAATTAAATATTAGAATAATTACAAGAAAATATTACTTAAGTCAATAATTAAGTGTGAGAAATCATTTTTTTCCTTTAATTGTCATGAAAAATATGTTTCTGAAAAGAAAATATTTTCTAGTAATCGAACATAGCGAAAAATATTTTTTGCTGAGAAAATTAAATCTATTTTTACTCCTCATGTCCCATGTTAGTGCTACAGTTAATCCATGCAATTTTTTGGATTAATGATGAGCTTAATTTATTTTTAAAGTATTTTTTTTCTTTTTAGTCGTTCATAAAAATAATAATCATCAAGTATAGATATTTTGTTTACTAATATATAGTATACATAAAATGTTTATTTTTGATATAAAATAATACAGTTTTTACATATTTAACTAGCGAATTTAATTATTTTGAGCTGATCGATCAAATATGTAACTTGCCATTTTTTATGTAACTTTTGTACAACAAGACTATTATGAGTTCGACACTTCCTTCAACATAACCAAAAGACTTAATCATTTTTACTAAGCTTTCTGCTGCTTACTTTTGGGATTAATTAATTAGTTAATTAACTAATCACCACTTAACAGAATCATTCACCACGCCGTTGCTTTTGACTATTTTGTTATAATGTTAAGTTAAAGATGAACACTAATTAAGTCAGATTGGACATTTAATTTATTGATTAGTTGTTATTAAAATTAAAATTAAAATTATTGTAATAGTATGTTTTAAATTGTGTGCAATTAATTTGTCTTTCGTACATTAAAGGAACTAAGAGTATTATTACAGTCATTAATTACCTAGTTTTAATTTTTTAAATTATTACTTTATGGGTACCAAATCATGTGTACTTTATAGTATGATTCTTGTTTAGTCAATTTTTTACCAATTTATTTTGACATTTTTTGGTTTCATCATTGCGAATAATTAAACACGTTAGCTAAGTGTTATAAACAATCAGTGAAATTTTGGTTGATATTATCCGCAATAACAATAATATAATTGATGAAATTTTACGATGAATCCAAGGAGGGTACATAATTTATTTTTATCTCGTGAAAATAGAAATATTTGTATCTCTTGTCATTCCAAAACCACACATAAAATGGTGAAATGTTGGTCCAAAGCATAAATAAAATTCCTCCGTCTCAATTTATCTATCGTGCTCTCTAAAATAAATTACTTATCGTTTTACAAACTCAATACAAAATTAATTATCCCTCCCCCCTTCCATACACACACCATTTTACTCTTGTAGGTATTGTTCTTGAATAGTACAAACGCTTCAATTATGAAATGATGTTAGGATTGTTCAAATAACACTGAAGGCTAAAATAATTTTTCTTAAAAACTTGTTAATTAATAGTTTTTAAGGAGCGTGTAAAAGAATATGATAGATATTTTGCGATAAGTTTTTTTAAAAAATATATTGTTCCTTGAAAAGTTACTACAAGAACGTCCTAAAACAAGTACTTCTAGATTTGTCCATTAATGTTTAGGCAGAATTGTTTGTTTTCTTTAGTCAATAAAGTAAATGTATAGGTGAAAACTCACAATTGAAAAATAAAGTGAGAAAGTTTTGAAAATACTCCTAAATTTAGCTTGAATTATTAGTTTCATTTTCAAATTTATATATTAACAGCCTTAAAACACTCATTTACTTAACTAACTAAACTTTATCTCGTAAACATTTATCCCAACATGAGAACAAGTAAAAGAAAACAAATCCCACCCTCCATGTCATTTTCACTGCACTTTACTATTGCAAAAGTACTATAGACATGACTCCACTCTTAACCAATTGCATGTGCATTAGTCATGGTGTGGGCGGCCACTTTTCCTTATTCTTCATCTTTTTTTCTTTTAATTTTAACCGTTCAGTATTCGAAACTCATAGATTTGAGAAAACATTTTTTATAAAAAAGTTTTTTGTTTTAGGGCTCAAAAGCAAAATCTCTGATTAAAGATGAAATAATCTCGATTATCCCACCAATTTTTTAATGTTGATGTGGACGTACAATTCAAAACTCGATATATAATAGGTTGACCTACGTACCCTTTCTTACCATTTAGTTTGGATGTTTGTCATGTAAATTCATTAAAAGATCATGAAATGCTTTTTATGAAGAGGTTTCTTA